TAATCCCAGCTACTCAGGAGGCTGAGGCAGGAGAATTGCCTGAACCCAGGAGGCGGAGGTTGCGGTGAGCCGAGATTGCGCCATTGCACTCCAGCCTGGGTAACATCAGCGAAACTCCGTCTCAAAAAAAAAAAAAAAGAAAGAAAGTAGCTGTAAAAGGAAGAATTGTAAAAGCTTTTGGACCTGTAGGCAAATGAGGTTTGTTCTAAAGCTCAGCACTTCAGAGGCCCTCCCAAGCAAAGTGCTTCTTCTATTCCAACAAGTGGCATTGTTTATAGCTTAGCCCTGTTAGGAGAGACTTTTTTTAAAATCTGACCCTTAGATTTACTGTGAAAAGAATCAGAATAACATCTCACTAATCAGAAAAAATGCTTTTCTTCCTAGGACCAAGTTTAAGATCAAGTCCAGCTTCTTCCTATAAGGAAACATATACACTAAAAGAATTAGGATGTTCTCAAATATTTTAATCTTCTGAAGATACTCACAATCTTTCAGACCAGAAATTGCTCCCCTTCTCCTCTCTCCAAAAAGAATAACGGTGTTTTTCTTTTGGGAGAAGTATTTGCATTTTCCCTTTATTTTGTTTATTTTTTAAAAAATATTCAGGTGCATAGCTGATTTTTGGCAATACTTTCAATCAGAAAGAGTTGAAGAAAAAAGAGGTAAAGGCAAGACAGATGAATGATTGATAGACAGGGTGGTGACTGAAGCAAGGGAAAAACAAATTCAATGTTGATTTTTTTAACATGATATTTCCAGTCTCTGAAATCTCTCCCAGATTGCTTTGATACAGGCCCAGAAGGGGAAACTCTGGTTTCAGGGAGAAAGCAGAGCAAAAAATAGGAAAATAAAGAAATGAGAAAGTATGATTTATAAGTATGTGGTTGAGGGAAATTTTACTAAACAGATTCTTAGCTTCTGTCACCATTGGAGGTCAGAGGAGAACTCAATAGTATAGCAGCTGAGCAACAGAACACTTGTCCTTCTGGCTGTAAACAGACGTAAAGCTGGCTAGAGTTGAGAGTGTTGCAGGCACCAAGCAGTGGGGACAAGTCAGGCACGTGCCCTTCTGTTACTATTTTGACACCTCATCATCCTACTATTTTGTTTACACTGAGTTTATCATGCCACCAGGTCCAACCTGTTTCCATTAGCAATTAGTACTTTGCCAAAACCTTTGGCTTCCTATATTGAGCTTTTACTCACTACACTGAAGCAACTCTGACTTTGAGAGTTTTACCTGGACTTTCAAAGTAACCATTCTGTTAACAGAGAAAAGTAGATATACACTCATTTGTGGCATATAATGAATAACGCTACTTTTATGAAGTCATTCAGTACGAATGATGTGACCAGTCGCGGAGGCTCATGCCTGTAATCCCAGCACTTTGGGAGGCCTAGGTGGGCAGATCATCTGAGGTCAGGAGTTCAAGACCAGCCTGGCCGACATAACAAAATCCCATCTCTACTAAAAACACAAAAATTAGCCAGGCGTGATGGTAGGTGCCTGTAATTTCAGCACTTTGGGAGACCAAGGTGGTTGAGTCACCTGGGGACAGAAGTTCAAGACCAGCCTGGCTAACATGGTAAAACCCCATCTCTACAAAAATATAAAAATCAGCCAGATGTGGTGCTGGGCACCTGTATTTCCAGCTCCTCAGGAAGCTGAGGCAGGAGAATCGCTTGAACCTGGGAGGTGGAGGTTGGAGTGAACCAAGATTGTGCCACTGTACTCCAGCCTGGGCAACAGAGCAAGACTCCGTCTAAAAAAAAAAAAAAAAAAAAAACAAAGGATGGGAGCAGATTTTGAGGACAGAGGTTTTTTAAAAATAAAAATAAGACTGGGCGTGGTGGCTCATGCCTGTAATCCCAGCACTTTGGGAGGCCAAGGCAGGCAGACAACCTGAAGTCAGGAGATCAAGACCAGCCTGGCCAACATGGTGAAGCCCCGTCTCTACTAAAAATACAAAAAATTAGCCGGACATGGCGACCAGTGTCTGATCTCAGCTACTCAGGAAGCTGAGGCAGGAGAATTGCTTGAACCAGGGAGGTGGAGGCTGCAGTGAGCTGAGATCACACCACTGCACTCCAGCCTGGGCAACAAGAGCGAAACTCCTTCTCAAAAAAACTTAAAAAATAAAAATGAAAGGGGGCTGCTCCTGGAGGCCAGTGGCTTGGAGCCCCACGCCTGGCTTCCCCAGCCTTGCAGGGCTGCCAGGGCTGCACACCGCTGCCGACACCTGATTGCAGGCTCATAGGCGGAAGGGACTTGACTTGTCTCAGATACCCTATTTTAATCTTGTGAAGCATTTGACATCTGCCTGTCCAAATGTATATAGTATATCACAGTCTCATCATACAACCCTGGACAGTAAAACACACAGTGGTGAGAAGCACACCCATCTTTTCAAACTCGGTTGGAGAGACTTGAAAGGTCTGTATGAGGACATTAGAAAGGAACTGCTCCTATCAACATCAGAACTTAAGGAAAAGTCTGAGTACTACTTTGATGGAAGAGGGAAAGCCTTCCGACCAATTATTGTGGCACTAATGGACCAAGCATTCGATATTCATCATGACAACTCCCGACATGTGCAAGCCAGCCAGCCTACAATAGCCTTAATCCCAGAAATGACCCCCATTGCTAGTCTGGTTCATGAATATGTTATTGGCAATGCAAGTTCTCGAAGAGGAAAACACACAGTTAATAAGATCTGGGATGAAAAGAAGGCTGTTCTTGCTGGAGATTTAATTCTTTCTGCAGCATCTATAGCTCTGGCACGAACTATTTTAACCCGTGTTATTGAAGATTTGGTACATGGTGAATTTCTTCAGCTTGGGTCAAAAGAAAATGAGAATGAAAGATTTGCACACTACCTTGAAAAGACCTTTAAGAAGACAAAGCCGGGCGGGGTGGCTCAAGACTGTAATCCCAGCACTTTGGGAGGCCGAGGCGGGTGGATCACGAGGTCAAGAGATCGAGACCATCCTGGTCGACATGGTGAAACCCCGTCTCTACTAAAAATACAAAACATTAGCTGGGCATGGTGGCGCGTGCCTGTAATCCCAGCTGCTCAGGAGGCTGAGGCAGGAGAATTGCCTGAACCCAGGAGGCGGAGGTTGCGGTGAGCCGAGATGCGCCATTGCACTCCAGCCTGGGTAACAAGAGCGAAACTCCGTCTCAAGAAAAAAAAAAAAAAGAAGATGGCCAGCTTGATAGCCAACAGTTGTAAAGCAGTCTCTGTTCTAGGATGCCCTGGCCCAGTGGTGCATGAGATCACCTATCAGTATGGAAAAAATGTAGGAATAACTTTTCAGCTAATAGATGATGTACTAGACCTCACCTCGTGTTCTGACCAGATGGGCAAACCAACATCAGCTGATCTGAAGCTTGGGTTAGCCACTGGTCCTGTCCTGTTGCCTGTCAGCAGTTCCTAGAAATGAATGCTATGATCATGAGACAGTTCAGTTTGCCTGGAGATGTAGACAGAGCTCGACAGTATGTATTACAGAGTGATGATGTGCAACAAACAACCTACCTCACCCAGCAGTACTGCCACAAAGTGATAAGAGAGATCAGTAAACTTCAACCATCCCCAGAAAGAGAAACCCTCATTCAACTTTCAGAAATTGTGCTCACAATAGATAAATGACTGTTCTTTCTGGCAGCCGTCTTACCAGACAGTGCCTAAAGAATTTTATGGAATACACTTTATTTGCTTCATGTGCAGATAACCAAAAACCATTTTAAAAGATATCAAACTTATTGATGGGCAATGTATTTTTTTTAATTGCAAAAGTTTTTTCAGAAAACTTTTTAAATGTAATTAAACCATCTGAATCTGTCATTCTAGTCCTATAAATTCTAATTGAGATATTTTGATGGTTATATGTGGTATTGTTTACACTGTTTGTATCCACATGTAAGGCTATTACACAAATAAATAATTGATGTTAAAATTCAAAAAATATTAAAACAAAAAATAAAATTAAAATTAAAAAAAGGAATTTCATCAATAAGAAAAATGTAACAAAGAAGAAAAAAAGGTACAAAGATGTGACAGGCAACTTATATATGATAACCAAATGATTTAAAAAAATCTGTTCTCATAAATCGTTAGAGAAATGCCAATTAAAACAACATTTATAATTAAATAGTTTTTACCTATAAAAACTAAGTGCCCTTGTGAAGATTCAAACGGGCGCTCTCTCATATACTGTTGGGTTGGCATGTAAATCAGAACAGTCTCTTTGAGGGTAAATTGGTAGTAAATGTTAACTTTTTAAATGTTCGAGCTCTTTGATCCGGCAGTTCTACGGCTATGAATTTATCCTATAGAAATACTCATACAAGTGAACAAAAAGAGTTAAGTTGTACTGAGTGCAGTATTTAAAATCATAAAATATTAGAAACAACCCTATTGTTCATCAGTTGAAAAGTAGCTACATAAATCACAGTGCATGCAAAAGATGTGATGCATACAGCTGTTGAAAGTGAGGTAGACCTCTAAATGGCCTAATGGGGAGAGGTGTTGGTGCTAAATAAAAGGCAAGCTGGAAAGAGCTATGTATAGTATGATCCCATTTTTTAAAAAAATTAAAAAACATAGTAATGAATATTAGCAGAATAGAAAAAAATTCTGGAACACTGCCAAGTTAAGCGTCTGTCTTTAGGGAATTGGTTCAAGAGACTTTCTATACTATATGTTTTTGTACAGTTAAGAACTATTAAAACAAATGTGATCTCTTAAAATCAGGGAGAAAAACCATACATTTATAATAATTAAAGGCATTTTGATCTATTAGGTCATTCTTGTTCACTAGGATTCTGTAGGGAAGATAACGTTACTATTTCTGGCAGTGTGAAGTATAATTATGGGTTGAAATAAAACTTTTGCTTTGTAAAATGTGGTAGGACTTATAGCCAGGAATTTCAAAACCCTTTACTTACCTTCCCTGACTTGAGATGTTCACGAATGAGATGATTAGCTTGTTTTACATTCAAAATTATCGTCCTCCTGGTTACATTTATTATTTTTGGTAGTATGCTTGATTCTCTCTTAACGAAAGGGGTATAACATTTAACAGTATACATTTTTTGGCAGATGAACTCCCAGCTAGCCCAGATGACTCGGATAATAGTGTGTCAGAGAGCCTGGATGAATTTGATTACTCTGTGGCTGAGATTAGCCGCTCATTCCGATCACAGCAGGAAATATGTGAGCAACTCAACATCAATCACATGATCCAAAGGATCTTCCTTATCACTCTGGACAACAGTGAGTTACAAACTTGCAGTCTCTTCATTATTCTATCCTTCCTATTTGAACTTGGGCTAGGGGCTTGCTCTTAGAAACCAATTACAGCTGATGGTTAGACACAAATCTACACACTGCACTCCCTGGAATTCAGGGTTTATATTTCAGTGAACCTTTTGGTATGACTTAAAAACACTATTAAGCCAGGCATGGTAGCTCATACCTATAATCCCAGCATTTTGGGAGGCCGAGGTGGGCGGATCACCTGAGGTCGGGAGTTTGAGACCAGCCTGACCAACATGGAGAAACCCTGTCTCTACTGAATAATACAAAATTAGCCAGGTGTGATGGCACATGCCTGTAATCCCAGCTGCTCTAGAGGCAGGAGAATCTCTTCAACCCGGGAGGTGGAGGTTGTGGTGTGCCGAAATCGTGCCATTGCACTCCAGCCTGGGCAACAAGAGTGGAACTCTGTCAAAAAAAAAAAAAAAAAAGGTATTTACACACAGATCTAACTTTTGTTCCCATTTCAATACTGATTGTGCTATATAGCCACTTGCCTTTACTACCTTAAAAGAGAAATGGGAATGATAGCCAAACCCATTTTCTTCTCAGAGGTAACCTAAATATTCAGATGGAAGCCCTGAGAGATGTCAGACAGTGTTTTCCTTCTGTGCCCTCTCTATGGTTAAACCCCAAAGTTGGTACTAATGTCTTGGATTTACTCTTTAAATGTCATAATGTTAGGTTAATAACAAATCCCATTCTCTGTGACTAGAGGGAAAAAAAGATTTGAATCTTTATATGTTGCTTTGTATATCAGGATCATTCTGGTATTACCTGAGTCAAGTTTGCAGTTCAAGAGAAATTCTGTCAAGATCAGTTGTCTGTATAGGACAGAAGCATTATCCTTAACCTATTGTATTAAAACCATTTCCCAGGTGATCCCAGCTTGAAAAGCGGGAATGGCATCCCCAGTCGTTGTGTGTATTTGGAGGAAATGGCAGTAGAGCTAGAAGATCAAGACTGGCTTGATATGAGCAACGTTGAGCAGGTAACATTCTTATGTTCCTAATGTGTGCCCTTAGCAAGAATTAGCTATGCAGCTGAACTCTGCTCACACTTTTGCAACTTATGCTTATTTCCATAGGTCTGTCTCTTTTTTTTTTAACCAATAGAAGCCTAATTAACCTGGATATCCATCTCTAATATTGTGGTGTTCCTCTTTTGGAATTTTTTCATCTACCATGGCAACATGTCCAAATTTACCCATCTTCAGAGCACCGGTTAAAATGCCTTCTTAATTACAAAGCCTTGCCAGTTAAAAGTTGTTACTCCCTCCTCTGGGTACCTAGAATAATCATCCTATGCATCTTTTATGGGAATTGTCACTTTCTGTCTCACGTTGCGGCTTTCTTATGTACCTGTCTTATCTCCCCTGTTAGACTTAAGTCTTGAGGTCAAGATCCATCACGTTTTTTTCTTCATATTCTTTCTATGTTAGTCTGTTTTGTGTTGCTATAAAAAAATACCTGTAACTAGGCACAGTGGCTCACACCTGTAATCCCAGCACTTTGGGAGGCCAAGTCGGGAGGATCTCTTGAGGCCAAGAGTTACCAGCCCTGGCAACAGAACAAGACCATGTTTCTACAAAAAAATACAAATACAAATAATTAACTGGGCGTGATGGCATGTACTTGTAGTCCCAGCTACTCAGGAGGTCAAGATGGAGGGATTGCATGAGCCTAGGAGGCAGAGGCTGTAGTGAGCCATAGTCACACCACTGCACTCCAGCCTGGGTGACAGAGCAAGAAAGACCCTGTCTCAAAAAAAAAGAATCCCCAAGCAGTAATTTGTAAAGAAAAGTTTATTTAGCTCACAGTTCTGCAGGCTGAGAGGTTTCAGGCCATGTGCCTGGCTTTTGCTGAGGGCTTTCGTGCTGCCTCACAGCATGGTGAAGGAGGTCATCACAGGACGCATACGATGAGGACACATGCAAAGAGAGGAAAACCTGAGAGTTGTCCTGGCTTAATAACAACCTGCTCTGGAGGGAATTCATCCATTCCCATGAGAACTAATCCAGTCTTGTGAGAGGAAGAATTCATTCACCACCTCAAGAATAGCACCAATTCGTGAGGGATCCACTCCCATACCCGGACACCTCCCACTAGCCCCACCTCCAGCAGTGCCACAGGGAGATCAAATTTCAACGTGCATTTTGTTGGGGACAAACATGTAAACCACAGCACTTTAAAAGTCAAAACAGTGTGTTGTCCCTTGCAGGTGCCTGAGTAACATTAAAAGAATAAAATTTTGGTAGGAAAGACAGTTGACAACTTGCAGTTTAACTTCACATTTAGAGTATCTTTGTATAAGTCTGAGTAAGATCAGCAATCACACAGAACGGTAGATTTCACTTTTAAGTTTAATCACTGATCTCAGCACCATTCAACAAATAGTCTTTTAATGCCTACTCTGTGCTGCGGCTATACTAGACACTTGAGGCCTGATTTTGGATAACTTTATACCGTAATTTTTTAATATTTTCTAAAGTAAAAAGATACAGGGCCCTTTGTTTTCTCCTTCACTTGCACTAACCTGTGTCAGAATTACCTTTTACATCTTAATGCTCTAAGATTAATTTTGCAATAGTTTCATTTTTTTGTTTTTTTTCTTTATAGGCCCTCTTCGCTCGCTTATTACTTCAAGATCCAGGCAACCACTTAATTAACATGACTTCTTCTACAACGCTAAATCTCTCTGCTGATCGAGATGCAGGGGAGAGGCACATTTTTTGTTACCTTTACTCCTGCTTTCAGAGAGCCAAGGAAGAGGTAAAGGAATAATCCCCATTGAATACCATATTGTCCTCTTGGGTATGAGTTTAGCGTGTAGGCCAGAGTTGGATCAGTCTTTATATCAATTTATATATGTCATAGTATGTTTAGAACTGGATGTCAGGAGCACTAAAGCTTTTATATCAATTTATATATGTCATAGTATGTCCAGAACTGGATATCAAAGGCACTAAAGCTAAGTCTCTCCTTTCTGTGTCTTTGCGGGGGGGGGTCCACCCTTCTCCCCAATTAACCAATGCCTCCTATTCTCTCTAAAAACCTCTTTAGAAATCACACCCTTGGCTGGGTATGGTGGTTCATGCCTATAATCCTAGAACTTTGGGAGGCCAAGGTGGGTGGATCACCTGAAGTCGGGAGTTTGAGACCAGCCTGACCAACATGGAGAAACTCCATCTCTACTAAAAATACAAAAAATTAGCTGGGCATGGCGGCACATACCTGTAATCCCAGCTACTCGGGAGGCTGAGGCAGGAGAATCACTTGAATCCAGAAGGCGGAGGTTGCGGTGAGCAGAGATTGAGCCATTGTACTCCAGCCTAGGCAACAAGAGCAAAACTCAGTCTCAAAAAGAAAAAAAAAGAAAGAAAGAAAAAGATATCACATCCTTAAAAAAGTCTTATGAGGCGGGATATGGTGGCTCACTCCTATAATCCCAACACTTCGGGAGGCTGAGGCAGTTGGATCACATGAGGCCAGGAGTTCGAAACCAGCCTGGCCAACGTGGCAAAACCTTGTCTCTACTAAAAATAAAAAATTCGCCAGGTGTGGTGGCACGCATTTATCATCCTACCTACCCAGGAGGCTGATGCACGAGAATCACTTGAACCCAGGAGGTGGAGGTTGCAGTGAGCCGAGATCACACCACTGCACTCCAGCCTGGGTGACAGCAAGACTGTCTCAAAAGAAAAAAAAAGGCTCATGAATTCATTTCCACTGAGGCATAAATATTAGAATAGGCTAAGCCTGACACTTCCAGGATTGGAATTTTTAATAGGTAGGTAGATGATTCCTTAGGCTAAGGAATGAATCTGTAATTTTCAAGCATCCACAGGAGACCAGTATTTTTTGGAACATGTGTCTCTTCCATTCTGTTTACTATGTCTGCTTTTGTTCGAGATTACAGAGTTATATTATTCCCTCTTTTCTTCATGCTGTTTACAGATTACCAAAGTTCCAGAGAACCTGCTCCCCTTTGCAGTGCAGTGCAGAAACCTCACTGTGTCCAATACTCGAACAGTTCTCCTCACCCCAGAGATCTATGTCAACCAGAACATCCATGAGCAACTGGTAGATTTGATGTTGGAAGCCATCCAGGGAGCCCGTGAGTACATAAGCAAGATCTGTAAGCTTCCGCATTTTGATTTTCAGATTTAAAATTTCGCTAATTGCATTAGAAAGTCTCAGAGCCATTGTGGTTCTGGTATAAATTAAGGAAGAGGGCTCACATTTTGATCTTTGAGGTTGAGTACCAATAGAATAAAGCCGGACATATTAGCACACCCCTGTAGTCCCATCTACTCTGGAGGCTGAGGCAGAAGGATCCCTTGAGCCCAGGAGTTTGAGGCTGTAGTATGCTATGATCACACCTGTGAATAGCCACTACACTCCAGGCCGGCAAAAAAGCAAGACGCCATCTCTAAAAAACAAAAAAGAATTATTGAAAGTAAAGAGCTAGTGTGTAAAGGCATATAAAAATTCTTGTACCCTCCCTTCTCTCTCATTTATCTTCTTTTAGATTTTGAAGATGTAACTGAGTTTCTAGAAGAGGTGATTGAAGCCTTGATATTGGATGAGGAAGTTCGAACATTTCCAGAAGTCATGATTCCAGTGTTTGATATTTTATTGGGCCGAATAAAGGATCTAGAGCTCTGTCAGATCCTTTTGTATACATATCTGGATATTCTTCTCTATTTCACTAGGCAAAAAGATATGGCAAAGGTAGGCCTGAAAGGTGATATATATTCAGTTGAGCTAGATGTATAATACATTATGCTTCCCTATCCTGAGGACACTATAATATTACCTATTATAAGAAAAAGATAGGTTGGTTGTTGTATCGACTTACCTGTTTTGAGGACCTCTCACCCCATCACCTTATCTCACCATGCAGATGAATAAGCAGAACTTGTCTTCTTTTACAGGTTTTTGTAGAATATATTCAGCCCAAGGACCCTACCAATGGGCAAATGTACCAGAAGACCTTGCTGGGAATAATTCTGAATATCTCCTGCTTATTAAAGACTGCGGGTGTTGTAGAAAATCATGGCTACTTTTTGAATCCATCTCGTTCCAGCCCCCAGGAGATCAAAGTACAGGAGGCCAACATCCATCAGGTGGAACTATTTACCGGGGTATCCCAGCCCCTGATCTTAAACGAGTTTTCTCAGAAAGCAGATACAGATAAGGCTGCTCAAGCCTCTCTGGGAAAGCGAATTGATCTAGTTGGCTTTTACATCACAAAAAGAAATTACAGCTGGGTGTGGTAGCTCAAGCCTGTAATCCCAGCACTTTGGGAAGCCAAGGTGGGAGGAACACTTGAACCCAGCAGTTCAATTTGAAACCAGCCTGGGCAACACAGTGAGAACCCCATCTCTACAAAAAATACAAAACTTAGCTAGGCATGGTGGCAAGCATCTGTAGTCCCAACTATTTGGGAGGCTGAGGTGGGAGGATCACTTGAGCCTGGGAGGTCAAGACCTCAGTAAGCCATGATTGCATCATCACACTGCAGCCTGGATGTCAAAACGAGACTTTGTCTAAAAAAAAAAAATACCCTCTTTTTAGCATATGCTAAGAGCAGAGGATAAACCTTTGTGTGGGGTAAGAATGAGCTGCTGCTACTCCTTGCATTTTGCTATAGCACTGCTACCTCTCCCCAACCCTCATTTTTCTCACTGAGCTATAATTTTAGTTCTGAAAACCTTTTGACTGAACTCTAGTTTATAAACCCAGTTTTTCTTCCTTTTCCTCTCTCCACCCATGCACTCTCTATTTGGGCTTTTTCACATGAATTATAGTAGAGATCTAGCCAACATGAGGCATTTAAATGATTGAATTGGGGATAGTTTAAGTCTCCTATTCATTAATCATTACAACTCTCTAAAGCAGGGCATGGCAAACTAGCATTGGCCAAATCTGGCCTGCCATCTGTTTTTGTAAATAAAATTTTATTAAACATAGCCATCCCCATTAGTATATGTATTGTTTGTGGTTTGAATTCATGCTACAGTGATAGAGTTGAATAACTGCTACAGACGCTGTATGGCAAATAATGCCAGAAATATCATCTAGCTCCTTGCAGAAAAAACTTACAGACCTGTGCTCTAATACCATGTAATGCCATCTGCATTTGAGCAGTTGATGAGAATCTCTTATAAGCGCCCAGAAATATATTTTAAAATCAAATTAGGGCATAAGGCACAGATAGTGAGGGGAAAGATTAGGATTAGCATATTTTTAGAAACTGCCAGTTGTTAAGATTTGGGAACAAAAAATACTAGGATTGTAAAACTGGAATGTTCTGTGGTTGTGTTTTCTGGTTGAACAGTTCATGGCTCAGTTCCACGAAAAGATCTACCAGATGCTGAAGAACTTACTCCAGCTCTCTCCAGAAACCAAACACTGTATCTTGTCCTGGCTTGGAAACTGTTTGCATGCAAATGCAGGCCGCACCAAGATTTGGGCCAATCAAATGCCAGAAATCTTTTTCCAAATGTATGCCTCGGATGCCTTCTTTCTGAATCTGGGTGCTGCTCTCCTGAAGCTATGCCAGCCGTTTTGCAAACCCAAATCCTCTCGGCTCCTCACCTTTAATCCCACATACTGTGCTCTGAAGGAGTTGAATGATGAAGAAAGAAAAATTAAAAATGTACACATGAGAGGTAGGGGAGAACCAGGCTTCTCAAAACTGTGTGTGTGTGTGTGTGTGTGTGTGTGTGTGTGTGTGTGTGTGTGTGTGT